TATGATGATGATGGTGATGATAATGATGATTATCAAGATGAAGATGAAGATGATGATGACGATGATGATGAAAATGATGACGATGATGATGATGAAGATGACGACGACGACGGTAATGATGATGATGATGGAGATGAAAAGATTGGTGATTGATGAAGGTGATAGATTTGATGATTGATGGTTTTTTTTTGAAAAAGTGGCGAAGATGTTTATGATTGGTTGGGTCATTCTCGCTATCCGTGGTCATGATTTATGATTTGGAATAATGATGATAGTGATGATGACGACGATGACGACGACGACGATGATGATGATGATTATGATTATGATGATGATATTAATGATGATGACGTCAAAAATTATCATCACCGTAACCATCACCCGTGCTGGCATTTTAATGAACATCACACTGCCGATTATTTTGATAAAAAAAATCCAATTCAACAACTAATGATGATGATGATGACGACGATGATGATGATAATAAACTGAAGTGATGATGATGTAGTGATGACTATTAAAACGACAACGCACCTACCACCACTACAACCAGAAGCGGCCACCACTACTTCACCAACCACTACCCCTTCACCAACTACCACCACTTTACAGGCAGTTAACTTTTCATTGTTGATTTCATTTGCAAATGATAATTAACAACTGACATGACGCAATCATTTCGTCACGGCAGCAGGTGGAAGGAGCGGAAAAGATTGCATGAGGTCATATGGGGGCGGACCACCAAATGGGGGCGGACAAAACCATGACGTCACAACTAATTGCTTCTGGTGAGGACTTTTATGACGCAATGATTACGTCACCTTTAGAATTAACAGCGTTGAATTACGTCGGCTAGTCAGGCATTGATTGTTTTTCTATTGTTGTACTGCGTGACAAGAAAATCACAAAAAAAGGTTTTAAATTTTTTTTAAATGAAGAAATTATGAATTAAATATTAATAAAATCATTAAAGTAATAATAATAATAAATCAATAATAAAGGGATAAAATCGTTAATAAAAATATTGAAAAGAGTTGAAAAATTGCAGGCATGTTGAAGCAATTCAATAAAATTTCCAATCAAATTGAGGTTAAGTAAATAAACACGCTGACTAAGATGCTAATCCATTCACAATTTTTATGACCACAATTAAAACCACATAAACAAAAATAATAATCCATTCTTGCGGTAATAAAAACAAGCAACTTCACAACGACGCGCGCTCACACTCACACATAAAGACAAACGCACACAGACATACTTACACACAGACACAGACAGATACAATAACAGATATATACACAGACATACATATGTAGATACCGCATATGTAGATACAGACGGACAAATACACAGACAAATTTAAACAGACGCCTATATACAAAGACCAATGATTTCACACAGACACAGATATAAATACATACACACACACAAACACACGCAGACAGAGACAGACAGACACACACAGACAAACACACATTGACAAACACAAACATAAGAACAATAGGCCTAGTAATGACTATAATTTCATCTGGCCATTACGAAGGAAAGTTGGTCACGCTCCAGTGAACTTGCTCCAGGCAACGTACATTAAACGCAACAACACACACCACAACCGCAACAACAACTGCAGCAGGCAGTCAACATTAAACACAACAACAAACACGCGACAACAACTACTGCGTGCAAACAGTTGTACACAAAACATGCAGTAATT